AGTGGACACGTGGGCTCTCACTGACCAGTCCTGCTGAGTCTTAACAGGATGGTCATCTCCAGAATGACCTGTAAAACGATAAGAAATGTAGACAAAATGGAGGATGTCCAAAAAGTGATTTACAAAGATGAGATCTACCCTCCCACAAGAGAATTACTCTGTTATCCAAAGCTGAGCATTCTGAATGAAGAAACCCAGAGGATGCTATTCCACTTCTATCACAAGACAAGCAGCTAAAGCTCATGGTTTTGCTTTTTCCATCTCAGTCAAAGGGAGACAGAACTAGCCAGAGGGCATGGCTGGCCTCCATCCAGGAAGTGATACGCCTGGCTCAAGAGCAAGGCTGTAAGTGCCCAGGGATCATTTCTAACCTGAATACCACAGTCAGGAAGTCGTCCTCCATAGAGTTCAGTCCCTTCCATCCCTATTATGTCTAGTTCTGGCATTTCTCAAAGAAATGTGCTGTCAGACTGCACAAACTTGTAAACAGAAAAACAATTTTTTTTCTTCAGCATCAGTACGGGTTCTCTAAGCCTAGGTTCTAAGCCTTCAGAGTCAAACCTACTTCCCAAAACCTTATTACTGGGTGTGTGGCCATGTCCTTCTAATGAGAAGGTCCATTTCAGACAGGATCCAGAAGTAAATACTGGCAGTAAACCCAAAACCAGTGACACAGACAGAACAAAAACATCTGCAAATTCAAGTCCGGATAAAGATTCAAATTCCAGGGATCTAGCAGATACAACTATGTCGTTCAGTTTGGTGATGTCATCCAGCACGTATTTTGTGGGATGAGTCAGGGAACAATACTCCAGAAAGAAGAAGGGAATTACCCACGCTACAGCAGACACGAGCCTCAGTCAATGATATTCAACTTTGTTCCTTTCATACACCACCACCACCGCCCCCCCATACCTCACAGCCAAGCATGCTTGGCTATCTTCAGTGGCACGGTGGGCCTTCCACCATCATCCACCTGCTTTTCATTTGAGTCATGTGCATTACAGGGCAGGTTCACTCACAGCGGTAAGTCATTCCTTATAGATCCCCTCAGATGCTTTCATTAACCAAGCCATAACCTACTCAGCACACAAAATGCTTCATAGCTAACGATCTGCCCACAGGAAAAAGAATGACCCTGTGGCCAAAATCACAAACACATCCCTAACAAATCTTTAGATTGTTAGCAAAGTCATCTTACCTGCAAATAACAGTATGGAAACGCTCAGATCAAGAAGGAGATTTCAGGAGTACAACTCTGTCAGAAAAGGAGATGAAGTTTACACTCAACACCAAAAAAAGATACAAACTGGTGGCACACATCTGTATGATCCTAGCTACCCAAGAAGGTGAGCTCTTAGGAGATGTAGGTTCAAAGCTAGCCCAGGCAGATAAATGTATCTCCAAACAACCAGCAAAACCTGGAACTGGAGGTGCTGTATATCTCAAGTGGTAGAGCATCAACTATGAACAAAGCATGAGGCCCTGAGTTCAAGCCCCAGTTCAGCACACCCATGCACATGCGTACACACACACATATACATACTACACAAAAACCTAGCCTGACCAACATAACCCATTACAATAAGTTCAATGCCTGTCATCTTTCTGCTCCTGTCTAGTAGCTTTGCACTCCTGCGTGAAAGGGTATGTGTCAGTAGGCTATGTGGCAGAGGCAGAACACAAAAGTTTGCTGAAGAGAATAGATGTGCAGATGTCAAGGAAGCTATTTTGTTTTCTATTGAAATTTCACTTCAATGACTCCTCATTTTCCCAATTGGAAAAAGGAGGATCAAAGAACTCATCAATGTAGCCAGTTGGTGGAGAATTAAGTATGGCATTATTTTGTTGTTCTTATTAGGCTCAAAACCCTGGAGTCTACTCTGACATGTCTCTCACCTCTTTAAATCAAAGCAGCTACCAGTTCCCTTGACATTTCTCTTCTCTTCCTTTCTCAGTGGCTTCTCGTGCTAGCCACAGGCAACCGTACGTCCGGCAGCCAGCAGCTTCTGGAGTTACCGCTCCAAACAACAGCAAGCCTGAAGGCACAGTGCCAGCCCTCAGCCATGCAGCCAAGGGGCTCTCAACCTCCACATCACCCCCAGACAAAAAGAGGCTGCATTCCCCACACCCCATGCTGTCCTTGCTCAAGAAACATGGTATAAACTGGGCGCCAGTGGCTCACACCTGTAATCCTAGCTACTCAGGAGGCTGAGATCTGAGGATCATGGTTCAAAGCCAGCCCAGGCAGAAAAGTCTGTGAGACTCTTATCTCCAATAAACCACTAGAAAACTGGAAGTGGCGCTGAGGTTCAAGGGGCAGAGTGCTCGCCTTGAGCTGAAGAGCACAGGGACAGCACCCAAGCCCAGAGTTTAAGCCCCATGACAGATCAAAAAAGAAAAGAAAAAGAAAAAGAAACATGGCATCTCACCCTGAGCCACTCTGGGGCCATGCCACTGGTGGTGAATCAGCCTCTAGCCGGCCACCTTAAGCTCACTCTTGCTTTCTTTTTAGTAATTTTCTATTGAGATTAGATGATTGCACAAATTTCACAATATTGTGGAATAGTGATACTTAAAAGTTACACACACATTTTAACCTTCACTAGGCAAATTGTCAATATCACGGTCTATAAAGTTTATGAATTCTATGAGCTTTGACAATACAACTATTTCTTCCACATCAGGTAGTATTTACATTTCTTTGCTTAGTGTCAGCTGTTCCCTCTTTCCCTCTCCTTCCCTCCCATCGCTGCCTTTTAGTTCCTTAGTTCATTTTCATCCATGTCCAGTGCAATTGATAGGCCCCTCTGTTGTATGTTTTCCCATTTCTCTCTGATTCTGTTTCCTCCTCCTTAAGCTTATTCTTTCTATCCCTTCTTTCCTTCCTTCACTTCCTGCTCCTTCCTCCCATCTCTCCCTTCCATCTCCCCATCTCTCCCTCTTTCCCCTCCTTCTCTCCCTTCTTCCCCCTTTGCATTCTCCCCTTCTTTCTCTCTCCCCATTCCTACTTTCCCTCTCTCCCTCTTCTCCTTTCCTCCCTTTCCTTCCTTCACACACACTAGGCAGGCTCTGTCTATCTCTGAGGAATAGTCCAGCCCCATTCAAGTTCTCACTGAGCCTACATTTTTCACCTGAAAGATGGAAAGAACGGAGCCTTACAGGGTTAAATGTTCAGACGGAATTATTTTATTTCATTCTGGACTCTTAGTAGTGCTATTCCCCATCCTATGCAGCTGAGTGTTGTTAGATATTCTCTCATGGCTAATAATTCACCTCTCATCACTGGCTCTCCTCCTTTCTCCCATCCCCCACCACCTCTCAGCTCTGAATTGTATTTTATCCACTTGGTGACCCAGACTCTTAAGTATTTCTTGAAATGGAGAAAATCACATCAGTATTCTCTCTGCCTCAAAAGAAAAACAAAACTAGAGACAGGAATCTGGCAAGATGCTATCAGGTAAGGCTGAGCCTTGGAAACAGCCTGGCTCCCTTAACAGGATCCAATCACCTGTCAACAGCAGGAGACTTCAAGCATGCTTAATAATCCTGCCAAAGACAGTGGCAACTAGCCTCAAACATTAGACAGATCATTCTCCAATCTGTAACCCTGGGTCAAGTGTGAGCACCCCCTTGTGTATCCAGTGTGGTTCTTTAACCAGGCCTTGCTTTTAATCCTTGATTCATTTGGGCAAAGAATGGAGAGGGCCCAGGATCCTTTGTATTTGTAGTGGGAATTGTTCCTACACTGCCCCATTAGGTTGTCCGCTCTTCTTCCACTCCAGAAAATACAGGACTAGCAATAACAGAAATTAAATCATGAATGAGGAAAGACCGCACTTGACCTTTTCAAAGTAATTATGAGACTAAAGAAGTTGCTGGAGAGAGGGAGGGCAGGCGGCACTTTGAAATACAGGAGGAAATGTATATTGTGCATTGAGAAGTCTAGTCAGACTTAAGTTTACTCTCTGCCAGATTTCATCTTTTTTTTTTTTTCAGTATAACTCAGAAGGCATAGCTTTCTTGATTTCTTGTCTCATCTGCATACAACAACCTAGAAACCCTTAAGGGTCCAGAATTAAGCTGTAACAGAAGAGATGCTTGTGGTGATAAACAAATGTTTTACATCTCGATGGCATTAACATTAAGGTCTCTGATAATAAGCTAAGAGGAAAACACAGGCACTCAAGGATGCTTGTAAAGATACATGCCAGTAGAAAGTGGTAACCAGAAATAGCCATCAAACCACTAATTGAATCAACAAACCCAAAACCTCAAGGAGGAGGAGAGAAATAGAAACAAAGGATTCCTACCATATGTGTCCTAAGCTAGTTCCGGGCTAGTTTTGTTCCATTTAATTGACATTTACTTTTGTAAAAGTTTTTCTTCAAGTCTATTTTCATGCTTTCTCATTTCTAGGGTAAACTGCTTTGGGGTTCAAACAAATCTGGCATGTGTACACCTAGAAAAGACAAAGATTTGAAAGTGGAGGTGTGGTTCAAATGGTAGAGCCTTAGCTTTGAGCAAAAGAAGCTGAGTGAGAGTACCATGCCCTGAGTTCAAATCTCAGAACAACAAATTTAAAAAGAAAGGGGGAAAGGTCACATGTAGTCAAAAATATGCCAAGCCAATGAGAAGCCATAAATTGGCTTGCAAACAGATTTATCTGATAAGAGACTGTCACTCCAGCCAGCACCCATGTCTCAAACCTATAATCCTAGCTACTCATGAGACTGAGATCTGAAGATCTAAATTTGAAGCCAGCACAGGCAGAAAAGCCCAGTTAAACAACAAAAACAGGTCCCACCTTATGACAAGTGACTGCCTCTTCTGTCCAAAGAGAAGCAGTGGCTGGCTCACAGTTTACCAGTCCCCAACCATCCACGAGACAATCCAAAACCACACCCACACAACTACTCTCTCACTGCTGATCAACCTAAGAGAAGACAATGACATTCTTAACTCACTCAACCTTTCTCTTTTTTAATTTTCACCCATACCTGCATCAGGAAATCCCTGTGGTTTTTCTCAGATGTCCAGCAAAAAAGTTTTGTCCTAGAAGATTTCACAGGGGAGGGGACAGGGTAATGATGCCGGTGGCTCCGCCCACAGTACCTAAAATCATCAAACACAAAAAAAACCCATTCAGCACTGGTGCTGTGACAGCCCAGGAAACTCAGCACCCATGAGAGCTGCTCTGGCCTGCTTGCCCTGGGTGCTTACCTCTTCCATGTCCCATGCATTAACTGAGAAAATCATTACCCTCTCTTCTGATCCCCACTTCTATAAGAGGAGCACATTGTTGATGTGAAAATGTTTCTGGCACTATTAATGTGTCTGCATTTTTTTACTCATGACCAAATTCATCTTTTACCGGTGTCTATAAGTCTACCATATGTCACATGTTTTGGGCATAGTGAAGGCCCTGGGAGAGGGAGGAGGGGCATGCACTCAAGTTTTTCATTAACAAAACATAGAATCCCAGAGACTATAGGGGAATGGTTGGAGAAGCTAAGATGGCCTTCAAGCCAGAGTACTGCACACTGCACATGCACACACACGCACACTCTAATAGTAATAATAATACAGTACCATGAGGATAAAACTAGTTTTAAGTAGGCTCTTAAGTAGATATTTCTATAAAGAAGTTGATCATTTGGGCTAGGACTTAAGACAAAAGGCCCAGTAAAGGAATGTCTAACAGGCATGTGGCCCAACCTGAATGACAGAGGCTGAAGAATATCTGTCCCATCTTGGAATGAGACCTGCTTGCTGCAAGATGGGTGGATAACACGGTAACTCAGGTCCAATGAAGACAGAAATAGGACAGAATTGTAAAGGTTGTAAATACCAAAATCAGGAGTTACCTTTGCAAATCATGTTAACATTAAACACTGTCCGACCTAGAAGCCTGTTCAGAGGCAAAGAAAAGAGAAGACAGGATCTTAGAAAGAAAATCCCCCACTGGACCCCGGTGGCTCCACCTGTCATCCTAGCTGCACAGGCAGAAAAGTTTCTGAGACTCTTAGCTCCAAAAACCCCACTGCATCAGCTGGGTTTTTCTCATTTCTACCCACTTACCCCTTAAACCTATAGTTTTCAAACCCCATCTTGTTTTTCTTTTACAGAAAGCTTCCATCTCCTATCTTCTTAATCTCTCTTGGCTTGGCTGAACTTGAGATAGGAACTTTCTGTAACAATCCCACCTCCAACACACACACACACACACACACACAATGGATGCCAACCAGATACCCTCATTTCACCTTCCTTCTGCACCCCTGTCCCTGTCCCCTCCCTCCCCCCCCACCTCCCTCCCCCCCCCTCCTGGACAAATCCTTTCTGAGAATTGGTGGTCTCATCTTAGAGAAGCAAGGGACTCCGGGCCAGGGTGTGCTCCAATACCCCTTCCTTACAATCACCGCCTGGTTTACCAAGAGACCTTTTGTAAAGGTACAAAACTGGGCCCTGGTGGCTCACGCCTGTCATCCCAGCTAACCAAAAGGCTGAGATCCGAGGATCGCAGTTCAAAGCCAGCCAGGTGGGAAAGTCAGTGAGACTCTTATCTCCAATTATCCAGTGAAAACAAAGCCAGGAGCGGAGATGTGGTTCAAGTGGTAGAGTGCCAGCTCTGAGTGAAAAGGGCTAGTTCCCAGGCCTTGAATACAAGCCCTATTCCTGCACATACACACGTACGTCCATGGGGCCACCGTGTGACGTCTACTCTGCAGAAGGAGAACACCCGGAGGCGGGCGGGAGGGCCGCTGGGTGAGTGACTGTCCCCCTGGCGGTGTCCAGGCACCCCCATCCATCACAGATCTAAAAGACCATCAAACCCTCTCGGTTCAGGAAGCCGGGGTATGAGGATCATGGTTCAAAGCCAGCCGGAGAAGACAAACCCTAAAGACGCTTTGTCTCCAATTCATCAGCAAAAAGCTGGAGGTAGAGGCGTGGCTTGAGCGGTAGCACCAAAAGAAGCCAATAAGCAAGAGCAGCAAGCGCCGGGTTCAAGGCCGGGCAGCATCCACAGTCGCTACCCGGTCCCGCTGCCACCCCGGCACCGCAGGGGGCAGGCCGGCCTGCCGCGGGGAGGGCCCCAACACCTCTCGGCCAGGTGCTCGTGGAGCAGGGCTGGGTGATCCCCGGTAAGAGGACGGGAGGTGCGGAAGGCCCCGGGGACAGCGGTCATCTCACCGCAGGCCTGGCCGCGGGGGGCGCACGGCAGCCTGGGTCCGCCACGGGTCTCG